ACACACACACACACACACACACACACACACACACACACACACACACACACACCTTCAGCACGTGTCCGCAGCAGAAGGCGAATGTTTCCAGGTCGGCCAGATGTTCCACCACCTCGGAGGCCACCACAGCGTCGTAGTGCCCCCCCCCATGCTCCTCCTCCTCCTCCTCCTCTGAGAGGTCCTCCAGGGTGCAGGCGCGGTAGCTGACCCGCTGACGGAGGTCCGGGTCGAAGGCCGTGTGCACCTGGGCCGTACCAATGCTGTCCCCTACCGGGTCGATACCCAGCACGTCAGCTCCCAGCCGGCCCAGAGGCTGGTTGGGGAGGGAGGAGAGAGTCAGACAGGGTCCACTGTAGGTCAGTGGTTTGAGGATTGCCATCGGCAATCTGATTTCTTAGTTAACCAGTAGTGTTCAGTTAATTTATGATGTTTTTTTTTTGGCTTCACAAAATACTTTGTTACAGGGAGAGACAATATTATGATTAACATCATGGTAGATTCTGCAACATATAAAATATAGTATAAAACTGTAAGAATGAGCCTTTGAAATATAAATGTTACATGTGCAAAGCACATATGTGTCACAGCGCAGGGACAAAGCCACACGCCCGCTTCTTCAACATCGATACGATACGAAATACTTTATTGTCCCCGTAAGGAAATTTGTTCTGGACTCCGTCCTGCAGTTCCGCATACATGTACATATACAAACATAGTAAACATTAAAATACATACAAATATCATCACTCATACACCGTTTGAACAAACACAATACACAGACACACATACTGACAATGGCGACCTATTGCACAACCCTCATGGTTAACATTTAAAAAGTACATTTCATTTCATGTGAACGTTAAGAAGCTTAATGGACATAGGTAGGAATGAGTGCTTATAGCGGTTCAGCCTGTCTTGGGAACCCTGAATCTTCTACCATAAGGTAGGAGATGGTATTCTGGGTGGAGTATGTGGGTGGGATCAGACACAATTTGTTGTTCTGTCTAATAATGGACTGCTCATATATGTTTTGGAGAGATGGGTGTTTTTTAACCCCCAATACTTTTCATAGCAGTCTGTACCAGACGAGCGATCTGTGACTTTGACTGCACCGTCAAGTTACCGTACCAGGTTACAGTGATACCATACCTGATGATGCTCTCCAACACTGCATGATAAAACAGTAACATGAACTTCTGCTCGACTCCATAAGCCCGGAGTCTACGCAGAAAATACAATCGCTGTTGAAGTCTAGAGAGCATCTAGAGAACACTAGAGAACATCACTTAAGAGCAGGTAATTAAACAACTACAGTGGTGTAATATGAACTACAGCGCCGTCTGGTGGCCTGTGAGCTGAACTGCAGGCCCAGGGGCCAATCTCCATCCTCCCTCAGCTGATCCCTTCTGATGGGAAGAGCTGCAGTGACAAGACTCCTGGAGACACAGCTGCCATCCTCACAGACACTTTCAGGGCTTCTCAGTGCGTGTTTCTGCGTCTGAACATGACAGCCTGTGTGACAGAGCCACAGAAGAACAGGACCTGATTTTGTCATCTCAAATCACACCACACAGCTGGTATGTCCTCCGTTATAATAGAGACAGAAGCTGCCGCAGCTAGCAGCTCTAACAAACAGATAAACAACAATAAATGACCGCCTGTCCGCTCCACCACACTGAGACCAGCCACATCACCAGAGGAGGAGGATCAGGCTGACGTTTAGAGGTTTCTTCACACTGGTATGTGAAAGGACTGGAAGTATAAAGCAACAAAAGCAGAATATCTTTCAAGAATTTAAGGTGACGTGAAGGCAGCAATTGAAACTATTGGGAATAGACAGAGAAAGCTAAAATAGTTTGTCCACATGTCCTAATTTGCACTCGCTCTGCGTCTTTCTCACAAAAGAGTGACACCCTTACCTCGGTGAGCAGGCCCCCTCCACAGCCCACATCCAGAATCCTGAGGCCTGCCAATGGTTTCCCAGGATGCCCCAGTCTGTGCTCATTCAGCAGATTATCACTGAAAAAGATAAATGGAAGGTGGGTTGAATTTCAAATAAAACTACAACCGCCTTACTCGTGTTACTTTTCATGCACCCGCCACGTTACGATCAGATGTTAGAGTTTGTAATGTAAAAACCGAGGGAACATGAACGCGTACTGAGGGGAGACACCAACGATGAATAAGGTACAAATATGAACTGATAGATATCACTTCCCCAGTTGATTACTCACATGAATATAGTTATTTTTAGTATCAAAAGTGCTATGAAGGTTATATTTAAAATGTAAGTTAGGCATTATCTTATTTAATGCATGCCAATTGCATACATATTAAGCACATGTATTATATCCAAACAATACATCTCAGCATTGGATGAAGCAAGGTTAAAAATGGTTTAACTATTACTACTAACAGTTTCTATTTGTTGCCATGTTAGATTTAAAACGTCTATTTTTGGCAACCCTTGTATCACACAATGCACAATCTTCTTTTAATTATCAGTATTTTTTTCAACAAGTCAACTTATTAGATTTCCCCCTTGACCTTGTTGGAGCAGCCTGGGACTAGCTATTGTTAAACATTCAGCAGGGCATACTAATATAGTTTTTGCCTGATGTGTCTCTCCCTTGAACATTTGTAGCCATAAGTAGGTATATGAGAATGATACATTTTGGATTACACCATCCACTGTCACAACCCTCTGAATGTCAGTGTCTGCCAGCTAACATCAAAAACTATCCTGTGGCTACAGATTCCCCCTCCTTTTCTCCCTCGCTTGTGTCCCTTCCTCCCTCCCTTCCCTCCCTGCTCCCTCACACTGTCTGACTGCTGCGGCCCCGGGCAGCAGACATGCAGAACAGGCTGAGATGTGGGTATGCATTGTGCTCATTAAAGCTCTGCTGGGGTGCAGGAGCAGTCGTGCAAATGTGGTATACAGAGCCATCAGTGGGTTGATATACCTACAGTATTAGTAATTACATGGTTAACATGATTTGCATTTAGTACAGCTCATTTTCAGAGTGTGTTGAGAATTGTCTGTGTGTTTTCTGATAAGGAATGGTTGGTTTATTGTTTGAAAAATGTAGTGTTATCTAGCAGTATGTAGTGTCTAACTCCGACCAGCATAGTGCGAGTTCGCTACACTGTGTTCGGGGACAAAGAGAAGTCTCGCGTGAATACATTCAGAGAACGTAAACACACACTTGAGTGAAGTCACGGTGTGTGTATGTGGCGAACTGTGATAATAAGATACATATTTTTGCTTTTTGCAGGTAAGAACAGAGAGTTGGAATTGTGTAATTGATGGGTGAATATGTTATGTGTGAGTTTATGATCCCGGTTGGATTTTATGTAGTAGTGTTTATGAACGTTACTTGTTCAGCAAACGTAACGTACTGAAAATGGCTAGCCAGTAGTTAGCACTGGTGGCCTAGTTAGCTTGAGCGAGCGCGAGGCGGGAGAGTAGAACAATGAGCCGGTCTAAAGAGCCCGGACTGCTCGTGTATAGTTAATAGATAAATAGATAAATAAGTTAAAACAGATGCATAATTGATTTGGTTTATGTGACAATGTTCGGTAGACATGATTGGTTGACTGTGTATCGGAGCAACAAATTGATATTGAATGTACAAGATGAAATTGGTCTGGAATAGCAATGCAATAGACATGATTATTGTTTGGATGTTGATGCAAATGTTCATTATGTTTCTGTATTAGTATAGTGAATACGTGCAGAGAACGTAAACACACACTTGAGTGAAGTCACGGTGTGTGTGTGTGTGTGTGTGTGTGTGTGTGTGTGTGGCGAACTGTGATGATAAGATACATATTTTTGCTCTTTGCAGAACAAAATAAAAGACTTTCAAATTAAATGTGTAGTGGAGGGCTACTTCACTCTGTACCACGCTACACAAACAGTGAAGGAAGGAGGATTATCTGTTGGCTGACATCCACCTAAAGCAGCTTCTCACCTAAAGCAGCTCCTCCTGTAACCCCCACCTAAAGCAGCTTCTCACCTAAAGCAGATCCTCCTGTAACCCCCACCTAAAGCAGCTTCTCACCTAAAGCAGATCCTCCTGTAACCCCCACCTAAAGCAGCTCCTCCTGTAACCCCCACCTAAAGCAGCTTCTCACCTAAAGCAGATCCTCCTGTAACCCCCACCTAAAGCAGCTTCTCACCTAAAGCAGATCCTCCTGTAACCCCCACCTAAAGCAGCTTCTCACCTAAAGCAGCTCCTCCTGTAACCCCCACCTAAAGCAGCTCCTCCTGTAACCCCCACCTAAAGCAGCTCCTCCTGTAACCCCCGACAGCAAAGCAAGATGGAGGCAGAAGCTAATTAACCCCAGAGTGAGGGCAATGGCAAAGCAGCTCCACATGATGAGCTATTACTTGCATACAAACTATAATTCTAGAGATTTAAAAAAAGCTTTTTAGAATATTTATAGGTATATTATATAAAAGCATTGCCACAATTCAATATATCATTTGTTGACAGAATTAAGATGACTAAGTGGTGACTATGTAAGGGATAATAATATGACTGCCTGCACATTATCCCACTTATTACACAGCCACATACTAAATAAACTAACGTCTTGACATTAATTAAATTGAATTGACATATTAATTGAAATGATTGTATTGACTTATAAATAATTGTATTGCTTCCACTAAGAAAATAAAACCCTGTTCCATGGCGTACCAACAGCTGGAATTCCAAGTGAATTTAAAATGAAGGCAGCTCTGAATGATGTTTTCTGTGGCTGTCCAAGTCCCAACAAGTCCTTAAAAACTACAGAGCTCATACCGTGTTCCCGTTAATGTTTACTTCCTGTCTGTCTGCTTCTGTTGATTTATCTGACGTCCAGCGATCCGTCATTAAACCTCTTTTCCTTTCTCTCTCTTGATCATCCTTAGCAACGGTCATTATAGTCCTTGACAGCGGACTGTACTACAGTCATATAAAACTCTGAAATGTCCGAATTAACCAATCAGAATCAAGTATTCAACTAAGCCATGTCATATTAGGGTTGAGGTGTTAGGGTTAGGTGATATAGTGGTGAATAAAAACACTGGTGGATTCTGAAAAAAAACAAAATAACAGGGAGGTTTATTGCAATTGTGTCTTTTATTAATGTGGTATTACTGTATGGACTCCAGACTCTATTATCTATGTTCAAGTTCACTAATAATATTCAAGAAAATTAGCATTTGTTTGTATCTATAGTACCACAGTAAGAGAGTCAGAGTGTAAAAGGTGCAGCAGCAACAGTAGCAGCGGTCTCATTTAGACACACCCTGAGGGCGGACTCGTATCAGGCAAAGCAGCCTCACTCAGACACACAGTGGCACTGGATCTGTCACACTGTCACCACACACACACACATCACCATCATCTCCTCCACCAACAGGACCACAGAAAAGGGGGGATGGGTAAATACTGATAATCTTGTGGGGGCCCCTACAGCAGATCTTATCAATCAAAACAGATGCAGCAGCACCAAAACAACCCTGATGTAGAGTTGGGGGAGCTGAAACGCTATTTGCTGAAAATGTGCTGATGTGTGCAGGAATCCTGTCATTTCCAATTCATGTTACTTCAATGTATGTGTTTTTGCTCTCAAATACCACAAGGCTGAATCTGCCCCAGGTTATGTTTTGTCACAGTTGCTTGACGTCTCTCAATCCTGTGTTGACAGTGACTTAGGTGAGACATCTTGAAAATATGACTATTGGCATGCATATCATGTTGAAACACTCACCGTATAAAAGGCACCCTCAGGTCATTCATGGCGTGAAGAGCAGCAAACTCCCCCCGCTCATCCCACCACTTGCTGGCCAGTGACTGGAACCTCCTCACCTCGTCGGGGTCCACCGTGCTGTGGGAGGCCGAGCGGGCGCTGTGCAGGGGGAGATAGAGGAGATTACATTAAGACTGCAAATAACTAAACATGAGCGTTAATACAGGGGACACAATACTGAAAATGAGGCGTTGGGACCTTGGATTTGGACATAAAAAATCAATATATATTATTTTGTTTCAGTAGCACTCAGTTCAATATTTTTACCAACTTTAGTTCGGATCAAAATGAATACAAATATATTTTCTTCCGAATTTTAGCCCCTACAAATGTCAATTTACAAACAGATAGTTATTATCTTTTGTATGCTAAATTCTATGTTGTTTTGGGAACTGTCAATGATTACCAACAATGGTATTTATTTATACTTTTTTGATATAAGTTTCTAATTTTTAAGAAAAAGTCAAACTTGTTTTTTTGTATTGGACAACACAAATGTCCCAGTCCCACAAGGCTTTAAAAATACTAAATATCAATATAATTTTTCAACTTAAACGACAAAACCGTAATTCATTTTCAAACTATGAACCATTTAAATGAGAGCTGTAAACTAAATGCTTAGGGGGTCAATGATAGCAACATAATTAATAATACAGCAGCAAAAAAATAGCATGTATTTGCCCCAAACCATAGTAAACACATGCTATTATGTTGAATGGATTCAAACAATGTGGTTTTAATTTAGCCTTTAAAGTTTTTTATCCTCTGAATATTTTGGAAACAACGTTTTTTATGGTCTTATTACAATGGAGCTGAGGTTGCACTTCCAAATCTTGGACTAAAACATCCTTTCTAAAATGTGTGGCTTATCATGCATATTGGAATTATTTGTGAAATTACAAGTCGATTAGTCAACTTGAATAATAATGTGGAAATTGCTGGTTTAAGCTTCTCAGATGTAAGCAGTCTCACTATGACTATACGACTGAATATTACTTATGCTTTGGTCTGTTGGTTGGATAACACAAACCCTCTGAGATCAGCTTGTGGTCCAAGCTAAATAAATGGGGATTCTGTAGAATGTTCTGGCATGTAACATAAGAAACGATTAATTGGAAATGTAAATCCCCCAGTTAATGGTTAATAAAAGCAACTGTTGTTTAACACCATTGTTCTTGTTCCCCAGTACATACCCAAGCCTTTAAACACATTTAGTTGAGTTATAGCAACTCTTTGAGTAAATAAAATAATTGCACTTTTTGACCTTTATTTCCTTTGGGAGCTTTAACCAATTTACCCTTGGAAGGCTACAGTTTAACACATAACCCTAGGCTGCAACTGTGACATGTTAAGGTCAGCTAACAATAACCAAGTGGCTCTTGTACTGTGATTAATGTGATGTTGGTGTTGCAGCCTACCTGATGTGACAGGGCACGGTGTGGTGCTGGCTCTCCAGAGAGGCGCTCCTCCTCAGCCACAGTGTCCGCTGTCTACACACCGCCGTCCAGCTGAACCCGCTCCGTCCTCCCGCTCTCTGGGCCTGGACCACCCCACACACAGCGGCGGTGTTCCGGCTGTACAGCCCGAACATGAGGCGACTGAACTTATTCACGTACATGCTGTCATAACACACGTTCACAGCTAGCTTCTGAACATTTGTTGACTGCACTTGAGTTGACCGACTGTGCGCATGTATTTTCTCCCCGGGCAGAAACAACACACACTTTAGTTCCTACTGGTCAGTCAACGAAATATTACCGACTGGAAACAAATAGACTATCACTTGTGTTTGTAATTTATTTCAGTAATTCATTATTGGTGACTATTTTAATGTAAGGGTTCTTTCATAACCAACGAATTTCATAAAAGCCACCGTCATTTTATCATTGCTGCTTCTCTAGCTTTATGTTAGCTTAGCCTAACATACTGACATACTCTCAGTTTGAGGCAGTCCTCCTCGGACTTGGTGCTTTATGGCAGCACCTGCAACGCAGCACAATTTGAGAAGAGACCCGTTCAACGGTACTGACGTGTGTTTGGTGATATGTGACATCCACAAGAGTGGTTCAGAACCATGTACTGCGCCAACTCGAGTAATAACCATATTGAACTCAAAGGAAGTCACTAGGTGACTGACTTATGTGTTACATTACAAATTTAACACTTCAACATGGGATAGTAGTTACAAGTGGATGATTTCTGGTAGTCTCCATTTTAGTTTGAAAGAATATAGAAATATTTAGGAAATGGAAGTGGCTTTTACATTGTGTATCTTTACCATTAATATAAGCAGATGCTTTAATTTGAACAAATAAAATAAACCACTTGCCAGCATATAGTGGACCTGCCCTGGCCTGTATGTGGAGACAGTTACTGAGCAATTCATGTGTTTTCAAAGGATGGGGGATGTGTGGGAGGGTGTTATAAGTAGCACAAAGAAAAGACAGCAAGGCGAGACAAGGAACAAACAGTTTTATTGGACATATTACAATAATGTTTTGAGGAAAAAAAAAGTTAATCCTGTTACGGTTTTTAAAATTATACAACTTTAGCTTTTTAGTGTCCACAGAGTCTTATTAAGCTTTGCATAATGATACAAGTGAAAACTCCTACCATTCAAAAAAGTTTGAAGTTGTTCTTCAGTCACACTTTTTAAAAATAACAACATATTTACAAAGATGAAAGACGTGTGTATGAGAGGGGGGGGTTCACCTACACAATTGCCTCTATAATGAGACAAGCCTGTTCAACTCATGGAATTTAAAATGGTAAAGTGCACAGATCAGGAGGGTTAACCGTGCTCCTCAGCGTCTGCTACGACGGGAGGGGGAAGTTGACCTGAAAGAGAGCGTGGACACAACATTAATACTGCACCAATCACACGTACCCACGCAGACTACAACATATAAACATGCACAGATACCCCCACCCACCAGATATTCTGTACCCTCCATAAAAACTAATGTTCTGCAGACTTTAGAGAAGCAAATATACCCTGCAGTGCACAGTGCAAGGCAACGAATGGTTTCATATCTTAACAAGTTGCTACAAAAAGATGAAACTGGCTTTAGGATGTTGAGACATCATGTGACTTTTCAGAAATAACAAATGTGATGATAGATAACACATAGATGAAGCATTAAAAACTTTATTGCAGACTTTACAATGTTAAGCAGATTTGACTGCAATTGACAGTACATTTTCATAACATCAGTCAACAATTTTCCTTTTTAAAGTTATTGCAAAAATACTAATTAAAAATGACTGTAGAATTCACAATGAGACATACAATGAAAAACATACAGTAAGAAAGAAAGGGAATAAAAAGAATACTACCTTGATCGCGACTTAGACTTGTGTTTGCGGCTTGCCTTCTTACCAGACTTGTGAGACTTTTCCGTCGACCTTGAGCGACTACGTTTAGATTTTTTAGATTTCTTTTCCTTGCTAACTTCAGGGGTGAGGGACCTACTTGAGTCGGAGTCTGAGCGTTTCTTGCTAGCTTTAACGGAGCCCTTCTTGCTGGATTTGCTCTCCTGCCGGGAGTGCTTTTCACTCTGAGAGTCCGTGCACGAGTCGCTCTCCTTCCTTTTCTTAGATTTGCCATTCTCCTCTGTAACTGCAGAGCTTCCTTTCTCCTTCTCCTTCTCCTTGGCCTTAGGCTTTTCTTTCTTTTTGTCTGACTCCTTCTCCTTTTTTTTCTTGTCCTTCTCGTGGCTATGACTCCTTTCCCTCTTTCTCTCCCTGTCTTTGCTGGAGGCCTTCTGCTTGTGTTTGCTGCTACGGCTATGACTGCTGTCTCTGCCATCCCGACTCCTTTTCCTCTCCTTCTCCTTCTCCCTCTCTCTGCTGCGGCTGTCTCTGGCCCTGGCTCTTGCCCTGTCCCGCTCTCTGGACCTGGATCTACTCCTGCGGCTCTTGCGCTCCCTGGACTCGCTGCGATCTTTCTTGTGGCGGCCTGATCTCTCTGCGCTGCTCCTCCTCCTCTCCCTGGCCTTCTCGCTGCGATGCCGGTGGGAGCTGCGGCTGCGGCTACGCCTGCGAGCCTTGTGGGAGGCTGAGCGGCTGCGCCTCCTCTTCCTGCTCGGGGAGGAGGATCGTGATGAACTACGAGAGGATGCCGAGGAAGAATAAGACGAGGAGGAGGAAGAGTGGCGGCTGCTGTGGCTGGAGGTGGACCGGGAGCTGCTGCTGTGACCGTTGGCCGGTGAACTGCTGCCGCCTCGCCCTGACCGCTCCTTCCCTCTGCCCGGGGGCTTGCTCTCGCTACCCTCCTTCTCACTACGGGACCTACGCCTTTCTACCAAGGGCTCCGCCTTTGTCTCTTTCATTTCCTGTTTGTGTGTATTCTCTGGCTGGCCCTCATCATATTCCCCCTTTTCTCTGCTCAATCTCTCCTTCACCATCTCTTCTGTGAAAACAAACAAAAACTCAGGTTAAAAATAAACAAAGAAACATCATGTCATGTAAAAAAAGAAAACTAGAAATAAACTACACAGTTTTACAATAATTATGATTGCTTTCTTCAAGATGAGATTGATAGAGCACTAACTTTTATGATCTGGTCAAACTCATTTTTTGGTAAGAATACATTTTTGCAACTTCAAATAATTGATAACCGTAATTTTCGGACTATAAGGCGCACCTGAATATAAGCCGCAGCAGCTAAATTGAATGATGTGTACATATATAAGCTGCACTGGACTATAAGCCGCAGGTGTTTTAATGTTTAATTACCATATGTAAGGGTTCGTGCACAGAGGGGATTGTCGGGAAAGAGATGGCTGTTTGAGGAAGCTCCCATTTATTAACATTTCAACAAACAAGTTGCATATTTGCATAACGTATTCAAGTGTTACCATTTAGTGCAATAGTAGCTATAGAACATGTACTGTGCTGTGTAAACTGTACTGTATCACATAGCGTTTCAGACACACAAACTTTTCAACTTTCAAACTTAAACGGTGCGCTCCCAGCGCACGTACCGGCAGTGATCTACAGCAGTGGTTTTCAACCAGTGGTACGGGGACAAACTGTCTCGCTCTCGTAATGTCTGTCTGTCTTGCTCTCGTTCTGTCTCTCGTACCACTCTCGGTTCCACTTTTACGCGCTACCTGTCTCACTCTTTTCCGGCCTCCAGCTTTTCCTGCTGGAGCCCGCCGCTTAAAGGTGGGGGGCGCGGACCGGCCATAGAGCCCATAGAGTTAAAGGTGTTGGCCGTTAGCTGTAAAAATCCCCGTTAGCTGTAAAAATCCATAGATTAGCCGCACCGTTACATAAGCCGCAGGGTCGAAAAATGGGAAAAAAGGCGCGGCTTATAGTCCGAAAATTACGGTAGTTCCTTTGTCTTCTATTTAGTGAAAATGAATGAATTCAATTATATTTATATAGCACATGTGTCAACGGGGGCTTTGCAGTGCGCACAGTATATGACTCTTTGTCCTTAGACCCTCGCAGCGTACAAGGAAAAACTACCAAGAAAGGTTTTCTTTCCTGTAGTCTGACATATAGGTTTTTTTGCATGTAAATGGTCTGCAAACATCCCAAAGTTCCCTCCTTCCTGAAATGCCTTTGCAAACCTGCAAAGACACAAACATGTCTTACCCCGTGCAAGCAGAGCGTCCTGCGCCTGTTTGTCCTGCAGCTGCTGCACCTCCCGCTCCTTGCGGCGGAAGGCGTCCTGCTTCTCTCGGATGCGGTGGCGCAGCTCTTCGTCATCCGTGTCGGAGGATTCGGACCCTCGAACGCTGCGCTCGTCCTCATCCTCGCTCTCGTCTGAACCGTAGTCACCGAGCCCACCTGCCACAACAGAGCCCCCGGGTGGTTGAGTGTTGGTATGGACGAAGATTTATTCTCAAAAGTAGGTTTCACTATAAAGCCCTTAATCCCAACCCAAGGTCCCCAATGGAAGGCACTTAATCCTTAAGAACAGTATATTACACACTGATTAACCCCTTAAAAACAAATGTAAACATATATCCCTTAAAGAAAAGCTGCATAAGAATACTTTGTGATGTGATGAAGAGCATGCTTCTCATCACAACGTTTTCACTTCGATCAATCTTTATAAGTGTATTTTGGGTGTTATGGTCTAAGTTTCTCCTGTTTTCCTTCTAAAACCTAGCCATTTAATTAATATATATTCTCCATCCCGCCCCCCGGTGACAGAAAAAGGGATACTCACTGAGACCAGTCAGAGAAGCCAATGCACTTGACTGTGCCAGCTGTTTTGCAGGAGCTTTGATTCACATCAACAACAGGAACAACATGTTAAAACACAGAGCCATTTTCTCAAGAGAGTCGCTAGAGAAGAGGGGGGGTCACAGATAACTATTCACAAGAGCTGCCATTGGTGAAAAAGAGAGAACAGAAATGACAAAAACAAAATAAAAAAATAAAAAAAAAAATGGAGAAAAGAGAGAGGGTTAACAAACAAAATTCTGTCACACAATCCAAGTCAAACAGTCGCACAAGCGGGAAGAACCAATCTGTACTAATGCAGTCACTTCAGTGGAGGAAGTTTCTTGTATCTAAAACGTGGATGCTGGTCAGATTCAATGCTCAGACATTATTCACTCGTATCATAGAGTCTTTCAGCAGGACCTTTAATACCGTGAACCAGAAATACTGTTTGTGGAAAGCTCTGTGCTCTGCTTCTGATGTATTAGCAGAGAATGGTTGAAATTCAGAAATACTCCAAAGTTTGCCGC